CAGGGTCTTTAGCTGTGTTTAGTAGGAGAAACAGAATGGAGCATTCTTACTCTATCTTGACTGGACCAGAATTTTCCCCCATGTAGTTTCATTAAATGAAACACGAGATTTCTTAATGGGATTATCTGGTCCGTCTGACAGATCCTATTGTAAATTGGTGTAGTTATTTACTTTTGTTTAAGCATATGCTATTCTACAAAGGAATGATTTTCCTAGTAAACTGATTTGACAATTTGAGGACCAGACTTGGTATTTAGTGACACTCTTGCAGTCATCCTGTCATCCATATGGCCTCCTTCATATTCTCAACATATCTTAAGAGTGCCAGTTATCTGTCAGGTGCTGTTCTTGGTACAAGAGCTATATCTGTGAACAACACAGAATCCTCATGCTCAGTGAGTCCCCAGTGTGCTGGAAACCAATGACAACTCATCACAGTGCTACAAGAGAACAAAGCAGAGCCTTAAATATAGGCTAATGGTGGACATATAGATACTTAGGTATCTGGCGCCACAAAAAAAAAAGAAGAAACTTAACTCTGTATTAGAGGAGGGTCAGGAGCAATTTCTGAGTGCAGGTAAGTTCTGTTGTGCACAGAAATTGGTAAGTAGAAAATCTGAAAGAATGTATGGTCCAGGTATATACAGTAAAATGTACAGAGGGCCAAATACATATACAAGTGAAGAATTTACTATATGGCTACAAAATGCTCTGAATAACTGGTGTATAATGGCTACAAATGAAGAAGGAAGCTGATTGAGGCCAGAATAAGAAAGGTCTCAAAGATCAGAACAAGGTATTGCAAGTATAATTTGGCTATAAACGGGACAGAAGCAACTAAATGGTTTTAATTGCCTAACAAAATCAGTTTTATGATTTAGAAAGGACACTTTCTATATGCATACAATGGGAATACATAGATTAGAGCAGGACAAGATTAAGGGTGGTAAAATATGCTAAAAGACTGTTTTAGTAACTCATAAGAAATTAGGGAAGCAGGCATTTAACCTAGAAGTAAACATACCCACACCCCACAATGGAATACATCCTGGCTCTGCAGCCTTACTCCATCTTCCTACTAATGCAGACCCTGGGAGCCATTAGTAATGGCTCAGGGAACTGAGTTCCTGCCACCATGTGGGAGACCCATATTGCATCCCCAATGCCTGGTTCTTGCCCTGGCTAAGTTCCAGCCATTGTGGGCATTTAGGGAGTAAATCAGTGATGGGAACTCTCTCTCACTCTTTTTTCTCCCCTTGAGCACTTGAGTGTTTGTGTGTTTCTACTTCTCAAGTAAGTAAAACATTAATATAAAAATTATAAAGTGCTCTGGTTCTAGTTAAATATATAATGCTGTATCTATTCAAAAGAATACTGTACATCCAGAAAAATAATGTAATACCTATATGTGTACCAACATGAAAGGAACTTCAAGATCCAAAATATGGTGTTAAAACCAGGATGTAGACTAGACTAGTGTGTGTGTATACCTTCAGTCATGAGATGACACTTATATGCCTATGTAAATATTTATCAATTAATTTGTTAGGTCTTGAGGGAATAGTAGAGTTAGCATATTTCATATCCCATCTTGAGAATGGTTGCCTCCAAAGAGAAACATTACATGTCTGGAAGCAAGAAGGAGAAGAGTTTTTCATTTTATAATTTTTAACTTTTATACTTTGGTGTTGTATTCATAAATGTAAAATACAAACATCTAAATTATTTAAAAATTTCCAAGAACCAAAATTAAGATTTTTTTAAACTTTTATTTAATGAATATAAATTTCCAAAGTACAGCTTATGGATTACAATGGCTTCCCCCCCCGCCACATAACTTCCCTCCCACCCACAACCCTCCCCTTTCCCACTCCCTCTCCCCTTCCATTCACATCAAGATTCATTTTCAATTCTCTTTATATACAGAAGATCAGTTTAGCTTACATTAAGTAAAGATTTCAACAGTTTGCTCCCACACAGAAACATAAATTGAAAAATACTGTTTGAGTACTAGTTATAGCATTAAATCTCAATGTACAGCACACTAAGGACAAAGATCCTACATGAGGAGGAAGTGCACAGTGACTTCTGTTGTTGACTTAACAAATTGACACTCTTGTTTATGGCATCAGTAATCAACCTAGGCTCTTGTCATGAGCTGCCAAGGATATGGAAGCCCCCTGAGTTCACTGACTCTGATAATTTTTAGACAAGGTCATGGCCAAAGTGGAAGTTCTTTCCTCCCTTCAGAAAAAGGTACCTCCTTCTTTGATGACCCATTCTTTCCACTGGGATCTCACTCGTGGAGATCTTTCATTTAGGTTTTGTTTTGTTTTGTTTTGTTTTGTTTTGTTTTGTTTTGTTTTGTTTTTTCCCCAGAGTGTCTTGGCTTTCCATGCCTGAAATACTCTCATGGGCATTTCAGCCGGATCCGCATGCCTTAAGGGCTGATTATGAGGCCAGAGTGCTGTTTAGGACATCTGCATTCTATGGGTGGGGCTGGCAGAAAAAGCAATGGGTAGGGGAGATACAAGAGGGCATTTCAAATTAGATGAGTTATAGAATGAATTCAGTAAAAAGATGTTAAGGGTCAGAGTTCCTCAGGAAATTACTGAAGTTCAATTGGATTTAGATTTCAGAAGCTGTGAAACATCCTGTTGAGAGACATGGATTCTAGAGCCAGACTGCTTGGTCTTAAATCCCGTTATGCAAGTTATTAGCTGTGTGAAACTGGGGAAATTAGTCTATCACTCTATACTGTATTCCCTCATAAAACTAGCACAAATCTCATTTGGATGTCATAAGGATTAATTGCAATAATATCTATATCACATTGAAAATGATACCTGGAGCCAGTGTTATAGTACAGGAGGTTAAATTGCCATATACAACAACAGCCTCTCAGATTGAAATACTGGTTTGAGTCCCAGTTATTGCACTTCTGATCCAGGTTCCTTCTAATGCTCCTAGGTATGCAGCAGAAGATGACTCAAGTACTTGGGCCTCTGACACCTATGTGGGGCCTGGGGTGGAATTCCTGACTGGTTTTAGGCTGGCACAGGCCTAGCTCTTACAATCTTTTGGTGAGTGAACTCGTAGATGGAAGATCTTTCTGTCTATCTCTCCTCTCTCCGTCACTCTGCCTTCCAAACACATCTTTTTTTTTTTTTACAAAAAATTATTTATTTATTTGAAAGTCAGAGTTACACAGAGATTGGAAGAGACACACACAGAGAGATTTTCCATCTGCTGGTTCACTCCCCAAATGGCTGCAACAGCTGTGGCTGGACCAGACTGAAGCCAGGAATCAGGAGCTTCTTCCAGGTCTCCCACATGGGTGCAGGGCCCAGTGACTTGAGCACTGTTTTCCCAGGCTCATTAACGAAGAGGTAGATTGGAAGTGGAGCAGCTGAGCCTATAACCAGCACCCATATGGGATATAAGCATCACTAAGCCACAACACCAGCCCCCAAATAAATATTAAAAAAAAGAAAAAGAGAATAATACCTTATACTTTTACTGTTATAGTGTTGGGGAATCCTCACATATATGATATTTGAATCATTGGAAAGAATATAGAATTTAAAATGAGTACATGCAGAACCTTAGAGAAAAATATTTTAAGGACATGACAAATGACTCAATCCAGAGCTAATACCTATGACAGATCTGACCAAACAGCTGGTCATGCCAGCTCTACTTTCAAAATGGGTATGAGTCTGAATAGTTCACACCACATTTACTGTTTCACCCAAAACACAGTTACTAATATCCGTTGGCTGATCTATTGCATTTTCCCAATAAACTATCTCCCTGTTTAATAGCACTTGGGTTCCTAATCCCACCATCCTATTTTTCCACTTGTCATGAGTTCTTGAATTCATCTAGTTGCTTAAACTGAATTCCTGGGTCCTTCCTTGGTTCTTCTTTTTCCTTAATACTTCATACCCAATCTATTGGCACATCCAATTCACTCTGCTTTCAAAATATAATCAGAATCCTGCCCTGGACTAAGTCACCATCAACTGTTAGTATTCTACTACAATATTTGCTAAATTTTCTCCTTTATCCCATTTTCATTCCATTTTCCTGGCAGAAAATTTTAAAAAAAGAAAATTAAGATAACATTTATCTAATAAAAAGAATGTGAAGCCCTATGTCTTCCCTCATATCCTACATCTCTTCTGCATACTCAATAAATTTTAGCCTTCCTATTTTGTCTCAAAGAACATAGAAGGAATATCTGTACTAGTTAATGCTTTGTCCTGCAACATTTTTCTCCCAGAACTTTATAATTTGAATGTGAGGAAATAAATAAGATAATTAGAACTATTACTAGACAAATTTCTTAAGTGCAGAATCCATGACCAATCATTTCTATTTTCATCCAAGATCACCAATTACACAACTTTATATACACTCTGACTTCAATAATGTTATTTAATTGATTAATTAATTAATGAGGCTTAAATGCTAGATAATGTTTCATAAGTTCCAAATAGGTTAGTTCATGGAGACCATATGTTTTGAGATTGGAGAAGTAGTGCGCAATAAATCTAAATAAGTAAGTTGAGGCCAGATGGTAGAGGATCTAATTTGCTCAGCTAAGAATATTTAATAGTTTAGAAACTAGAGATTTGTTCATAATTTCTGAACCAAAAGGATATACTATCACAAGACACTAGGAAAATTATTCCACTCTCAAGATAAGTTTTGTTGTACAGAAATACAGTACTATATTGCATTCATCCCCAGAATTTGGTTCCTGTAGAAAATGAGTCTTGCTATTGTTGGTAATTTAGATCTTAAGGGTTTTGAAAGAAAAACCTGAAAATACAAGACAATAATTGACCATACCATGTTGGCATCTGTTCCTTAGTATTGCTTCTGGTTCTAACTAGCAAAAAATTGCTCTAGTGCATTCTGTATTGATTTAGTCTATAGCTATAGGTACAGTAGACTTAATTTTGAAAGTTAATCCTTTATTTGTTTCCCAACAGGTTCTCTGACTCTGAGAACACATCATGTTCAAGACTCCAAGATGGGATTTGTGATCAACGCAATCTATTCCATGGCCTATGGGCTCCACAACATGCAGATGTCCCTCTGTCCAGGCTATGCAGGACTCTGTGATGCAATGAAGCCGATTGATGGACGGAAACTTTTGGATTCCCTGATGAAAACCAACTTTACTGGGGTTTCTGGAGATATGATCCTATTTGATGAAAATGGAGATTCTCCAGGAAGGTATTATTATAGTTCTTTTCTAGACAATGGAGCCTAAACAGCTACCTCTAGACCTTAAGATGGTGGTTTCTCTCCTTTGTGGTTTCTCTCCTTAGTAGTTTTCTAGGCTTGCTGGCCATTTTTTTTTTTTTTGTCTGATCTTATCCTCCCAAATTGAACAAAGACATAGAGGCAAGGCACATTTCCTGAGGTCAGGGAAAATCATGGCTGCTAATGCTCAAAATGTGTTTTGGTGTCATCAGCACATTTCAAAGACTGTTAGAGGCAGGAGCCTCACATTGACAGAGATAAACAAAAGCAACCTCTGTGTTTTCTCTGTACATTTTGTCAGATTATTTCCTGTATGCTGTTCATCATCTTTGGTAATAGAACTATTCTGAATGAGAAACAATTCGGTTTCTGGTAATCCAGAGATAGGGCTAATGGGATATGATTTGGTGTGCTCTATGTACAGTGAGTGAAAACTCACATTTTACTTTATTATCCTTTAGCTGAAGCACTTTCTTCCTTGTTGAGGACTAGATTTTCCTTTTCTCTTAAGTCTGGCCCTTTATTATCTATAGAGATGGGACTAAGAAATATGTATTTACTCATAATTACAGGTTAGCTTACAGAGAAATGACTAGGCATCCACAAATTACCAGAATTCAAATCTGTCTCATACTGCAAATTCATAAGTGACTCTTTCCAGAAGACTTTTAATCCATATAGATAATGTCATTGAAATTATATTCTGAGCTGTGATAGTACTGGGTCTTCTTTTTTGCTTTGCACTGAACAATTAGGGTCCTTTTCTCTCCCATTGCAAAACCCCAAGTACTCTTCCACCAATAGCTTATGTTTAACAGCTGTGCTTGGGAAAATGTCTATACATTTGGTTTGCAGTTGACTCTGCCAAGAAAAGATCTCGTGAGGCCCTCCACAACTCACAGCCATGTGCGCACATATTCTACCAGTATTGTTAGTTCAACACATTTCCATACTCTGAAGTGAGCTGGAGCTTGTCCCAGAACAGGTGTTACCATCTCACACACTGGAATGCTAAGTGACAGCTAATTCCAAGTCATATAGTCAAGCTCAAACCCAGATATTTTATCTTTTCTAGAAAATTGAAGAGAATTGCTACAGGCAGACTGTTTGCCAAGGAAAACTGACTTTTCACACATTATTCTTTACTTGTTAATTTTTCATTGTGTCCATGGGGGGTCAAGTGAGGGAATGCAAGCATTTTGTTAGGGCCAAAGGAAACTGTATTTGTTGTAAATCTTCTTGGGGAAGGTTAACCAATGTGCTCAGTCTTTGGTTCAGGTCAAGACCTCAGCTCTGATATATGCAATGGATTTATGATTACTGTTTGCATCTCAGGAGCACTGGCATCAGCTCAGGACTTGCTGATAGACTTTGATGACTGTCTCTTCACCAGCTCAAAAGTTTCCATGACAGGTACCTAAGCCAATTAGTGAGGAAATGTCTCTAATGGCTCAGCTCTATTTCAATCAAAAACCTTAATGGATGAGACAGAACATCATTGCCTCATGCTCAGTCCTCTAAACATGCTGTCATGGGGTTCTTCCAGGACATTGGTTCTTAACCTTTTCTGGAGTATTAATCCCTTCAAGACTCAGATGAAATTAGTAGGTACTCTTTAAGAGTAACATACATAAAATTGTGCAAACAACTTCTTGGGATGCATGATTGTTGAGAGTCTATCCATACTTTACTAATTTTGGGTATTACAGTAACACATTAATTGTCCAAGTTGGCCTCTGAGGGCATAGACTAGACATAGGAAAAGGTTTTCAAGTTTTTGCAAATCCAGTTGCATTTACCCAAAATGAAAACTAGCATTTATTGAGTAAATGATCTGAGCCAAACACTAACTCAGTATTCTAATTTTCCATCCTATGAGGTCAATAATATTATGACTGTCTTTTCTAGATAAATAAAGAGAGACCCACAGAGATTAAATGGTTTTCCCAAAGACAGTATCATAAATGATAGGGTCAAGATTCTAGCTTGGTCTCCTGGGCATTAAATCCTAACCTGATACAACACTCTGCCATATCATTAACGGGGATCAAAATAAGAAACCCACTGTTCTTTGAGAAATTTATTTTTAGGCATTATGCTCTTATTTTTGTAGAATAAAAGTCACTGCTCTGCTGGATCAAAGATGTCCCTAGCCAAGCAAGGAACACAGGGTTATTATGGATTCCCCTGAAACACCAGTCACAGGGGCTAAGGGAGTTAGCAGTTCATTCTGGCCTTTGCACTTACAGATTGTTGGAGATTACATTTTAATCATTGTTTTTAAGCCTTATATCTGATGAGATTGCTATGTGCCCACAATTCTTCAGTGAAAACTGTGGTGCCAAATGTGTTAGAGAATCTAGAATTTTTGAATTTACAAAACTTTTATAGTCTTATAATGCCTCCCAATATACTATGGCTCAGAATTCCTTAATCAAAACAGTATTATTTCCGCAGAAAAACATTTGAATGTTCACACTAGGTGTGATTGGCTATAAATAGCCTCATGAGAGTTCAGTTTAAGTTTCGACACTATTTAGTTCAGAAAAGGTCTTGTTTTTCTTTCTTTTTTTTTTTCCTCCCTTTTTGATTCTATCAGCTAGTATTTGCAGACACTATTCTTGTTTATGTGATCCCTTTGGTTCTTAGTCCTATCATTATGATCAATTGTGAACAGAAAGTGATCACTGGGACTAGTGAGATGGCATTGGTACATGCCACCTTGATGGGATTGAATTGGAATCCCCTAGCATGTTTCTAACTCTACCATTTGAGGTAAGTCAGCTTGAGCATGTCCCGAATTGCACATCTCTTCCCTCTCTTATTCCCACTCTTATATTTAACAGCAATCACTTTTCAATTAAGTTTCAGCACTTAAGAATTGTGTATTGATTACAGTATTCAACCAAAAGTATTAAGTAGAACAAACAAAAAAAAATACTAAGAGGGATAACATATTAAGTTGTTCATCAACAGTCAGGGCAAGGGCTGATCAAGTCACTGTTTCTTGTAGTGTTCATTTCACTTTAACAGGTTTCCTTTTTGGTGCTCAGTTAGTTGTCACCTATCAGAGAGAACATATGGTATTTGTCCCTTTGGGATTGGCTTATTTCACTCAGCATAATGTTTTCCAAATTCCTAACAGGGATCACTTTTCAGTTAAAATTTAAACCCCTAAGAATAATTGTGTGTTAATTACAGAGTTCAACCAATGGTACTAGAACAAAAAAAATACTAAAATGGATAAAGTATTACATTGTACATCAACCGTCAGGACAAGAGCTGATCAAGTCACTGTTTCTCATAGTGTCCATTTCACTTCAACAAGTTTCCCCTTTGGTGCTCAGTTAGTTGTCGCTGATCAGGGAGAACTTATGATATTTGTCCCTTTGGGACTGGCTTATTTCACTCAGCATGATGTTTTCCAAATTCCTCCATTTGTTGCAAAGGACTGGGTTTCGTTGTTTTTGACTGCTGTATAGTATTCTATAGAGTACATGTCCTATAATTTCTTTATCCAGTCTACTGTTGATGGGCATTTGGGTTGGTTCTAGGTCTTAGCTATTGTGAATTGAGCTGCAATAAACATTAATGTGCAGACAGCTTTTTTGTTTGCCAATTTGTTTCCTTTGGGTAAATTCCAAGGAGTGGGATAGCTGGGTTGAATGGTAGGGTTATATTCAGGTTTCTGAGGAATCTCCAGAAACCAGAAAAGGTCTTCTTTTGTTGCCAAGTGAGTTAAGAAAAAAATTCAGTTTTCAGAGTTTTATGTGTTTCAGAATTACAGAAATACAGAATTACAGAAATTCAGAAATATAGAACTTTATTATTTACTATCCAGTGGTCTAGATCACAGATTAGTGAACTCTATTGTGTGGCCAAATCAATTCTTAGGCCTATTTTACAAGTAAAGTCTTTTGGAACATGTTCACATTCATATTCTTTCATAGCAAAAGTTTGTTGACCTCTGGGTTATAGACTACATTGAGAACTAAGGTTTAAGAGGTCTGGTTGCTGCCTGGGATTGATCATAACTGGACAAGAGAAACATGGAGAGTGAACACCAGACTGAGCACCAGTAACTATTTAATGCAAAATTTAAAAAAGTATATTGTGAGTGGTATAGATTTATGAATCTAAAGTATTTGGGAAAAAATTCCTTACAGGAAAAGGTAAAGAATTTTATAGGAGTAACTCTCTTAATAGCTTTCATTAAATGACTCCACATGGAATAAGATAAGAATTCATATTGTCATCCCTTAAAAAACCACTAAATTTTGCAAAAATATTTATTTATTTGTTTTATTTATGGGGAAAAGAGAGAGAAAGCTCTCAAGTACTGGTTCACTCCCCAAGCACCTACAATGGCCTGAATTGGACTTGGGGACAAAGCTGGGAGCCACGAATTTAATCCAGGTGTTCAGCATGGCTGTCAGGGACTCAGTTACTTGAGTTATCACCACCACTTTGCAGGGTCTTCAATAGCAGGAAGCTGGAATTTGGAGCCAAATTCAAGTGTCAAATGTAACAGAGTTCTAATCACTAGACCAAATGACCACCATAAATGACTAGATTTTGTAACAAAGATGAATAGTTAAGAACCCAAAAGAGGGATAAAAATACAAAAACATTTTAAAAATGATTAGCCAAGGGGCCATCTCTGTGGCTTAATCGGGTAAAGCCGCCATCTGCAGTGCCAGCATCCCAGATAGGTGCCAGTTCAAGTCTCGACTGCTCTACTTCCAATCCAGCTCTCTGCTATGGCCTGGGAAATCTTCAGAAGATGGCCCAAGTCATTGGGCCCCTGCACTCATGTGGGAGACCCAGAAGAAGCTCCCAGTTCCCAGCTTCAGACCAGTGCAGTTCCGTCCATTGTGGCCAATTGAGGAGTGAACCAGCGGATGGAAGACCTCTCTCTCTCTCTCTCTCTCTCTCTCTCTCTCTGCCTCTCCTTCTCTCTCTGTGTAACT